TTTTGCTGAGAGTTTTTATCAGGAATGGGTCTTGGATTTTATCACATGCCTTTTCTGCATCAATTGATAAGATCATGTGGTTCTTCTCCTTTGTTTTATTTATGTGGTAGATGATGTTGATTGTTTTTCTAATGTTGAACCATCCTTGCATAATATGAACTCCACTTGGTCATAATGAATGATTTTCTGATATGTTGTTGGAGTCTATTAGCTTGGATTTTGTTGAAGATCGACTTCAGTTTTCTTGTCTGTAAGATGAGAGGGTTGGACAGATGCTCTCTGTAGTCTTCCTTTAAAATTCTATGATCTTCCTTCAAGAATATTTTCTTCAACTTTTAAACTGAATCTGTGTCTATCTGTGTGTTATATTTTGAGCAGTATTTTTCAGATCACAGATTGCTACTTATCAATGGAAAGTAAAATTAATTTAGTAAATTATGACCAGCTTAAAAAGAAAAACTACCTGAGTATATCTCGCATAGTAAGAATATGAAACTTCTGTTTGGTTGCATAAGAGTGTGTGTGAGTGTGTATGTGTGTGAGTGTCTGTCTGTACACTCAGCATATAGTTGTACTCTTGGGTAAGATTTAGTGCAGCAGTCTAGTAAACATTCACAGACAGATCATAAGGGAAGAAGAAGAAGCAGAGTCTAGAGGAGCTTATGTGTAAGTTGCTCTCTCCCTCTTACAACAAATCACACAGCAAGCACACTTGTCCCATGCAACACGTGTATGATGTTTCTGCCAAAGGAAGCCCATTAGAAACTCAGCACCTAGGATATTTGTTGGAGGCTGGTCACGTAAGCACCCTCTCTCTGCCTAGCACATACCAAAATTCCAAGACTCTCAGGAGGAAAGCATGTGTTGAACATAGTCTAGGCAGAGTGAGCCACCCTTATCAGTAACTGTTGACTGGGAACACTTAAAGCCAAGATCCCAGATGGCAGCCTCAAAAAAGACCATTAACTCTTCCTGCACAGGGTTAAAAAAGAAAAAGGAAAAACAGAAGGTACTGTCCTGCCCCACAATCAGATCATGGCTGTTCTGTGACACTTTATGTGGAGGTTGTAGTGAGTAATTCTGGTACCTTCCTCATCTTTGCTGTTTTTCTTTTCTAGAATGGCTTTGACTACTTGTTGACATACAGCGACAATCCCCAGACTGTTTTTCCTCGCTACTGTGTTAGTTGGATGGTGTCCAGTGGTGAGTGGAAACTTCTATACAGGGTCTGGAACCTGGGTTGGGCAGTTTTTTTTCTCTGGCTTCTTGATGGCAACAAGAAGATTGGTACTTGTCTCACTGGAGCCGTATTGGAGAGAATTAAATGTCCTTTTCAGAGTTCATTCTTGAACACTTTGAAGATACCAAAGCCTCCAGCCGGGGTTTGGGAGGATGAGAAAATAGGGTCCCAAGAAGGAACTTGTGCCAGAAAATACAAGAACACTTGCTTAAATATGGGCCATGTATATTAATGTATTTTAAAAATATTTCTCCTTAGATGGTGCTAGACATTTTTAAGATCTGGCATAGAAAATGTGGTTGTGGGACAGTCACCTGAGAAAGGGCCTATCAGCTTAGCAAAAGCTCATGTCACAGCTGTAATTGCATTTTTCCCTTCCAATTTCTTGTATCAGAAAGCACCTTCATGTAACTTTCTTTCTTCTGGTTGTTTGTAGTCAGCTTCTTATACCACTGGAAGAAGAAGGAAGAATATGAGATGAGAGAGGAGATGGGTGTTTCTTTTTGACATTTGTCTATAAACAAAATTGACATCTGCTTAGGCTATGCCATGATAAACTGAAAAAAGAAATCCATTGCCTGCCATTGAGTCGATTCTGACTCATAGTGACTCTATAAGAACAGCGTAGAAATGCCCCATAGGGTTTCTAAAGTTGTAATCTTTACAGAAGCAGACTGCCATATCTTTCTCCCTATGCCATGGTAACTGATACTTAATCACCTAAGAGAGTCGTCAGGGATTTATCTGGCCTGATCAATACTCAAACCGAAAAAACTAAATTCACTGCCATCAAGTTGATTCCAACTCATAGCAACCCCCTTTGGGTTTCCGAGGCAGTAAATCTTTACGGAAGTAGATTGCCCAGTCTTCTTTCCACAGAGTGGCTGGTGGATTTGAACTGCCAACTTTCTGGTTAGCAGTCAAATGCCTTAGGCACTACGCCACCAAAGCTCCTTGCTCAATCCCCATATTCAAAGAATTAAGAGGTCATGGATTGTTTTTACTCTTTATACATTCTGGGAGGCAGCTGTCATCTGGAGGTTGTCACTCAAGCTGTGATCTTTCTAAATAGGCACTAGCTCCCTACCATCAGAGATACAGGGCCATGTCATTTTGAGCCTTGTTTTTGTTGTTGTTAAGTGCCATCGAGTCGTTTCTGACTCATAGTGACCCCATGCACAGCAGAACAAAACACTGCCCGATCCCGCGCCAGCCCCACAATCC